TTGTTCCATAATTGGCGCTTAAAGTTTTAAAAATTCCAACTCATGATTATCAAACAATGACTCTGCCAGAAGAAATTGCGCTTAAGTAAGTATGCGGCTATTTAATTAAAAAGTGTACAGCAATACATACATGTGATATATGTACAAAATATGTAAATGAAAATGAGGCTGTATTAGGTGAAACTACATTATATTGTTCTTTTCGAGCTTGTGAAAACGAAGAAGGAAATTTGTTCGGAAATTTTCATATACCTAGTAATGACTTTTATAATTACATTCAGAAATTAGAAGAAATATTTGTAAAAAATTTTGAAAAAAATTGTTTTCAGAAAAATATTGGTAATTACTTATTACAGTTGGCACAAAGTATAACTTTTGAACTACCATGTCCAAATTTCCCAACTTCTTATTTAATAAAATTGTTTCTTCGTATGCGTATATATTATACAATAAAACAACATAACAAATCATGTAAAAGAATTTCAAAAAAGAATAGGAAAATGTTAAATATTTTGCATTTATAAATTTCTCTTCTTAATTTTATTTTATTCTTTATTGTGTGTATACAGTCTCATTTTTATAATATTTATATCTCGTTATACGAATATTTCAATTATTATAATTACGATTTTATTGGTTTTAATATTTTTGGTTCTATTTATTTTATATTTGAATTATTATATATGCTTTTCATTGTGGTCATTCTTTTTTAATCTTGTATGCTCATTTTACATTTTTTTTACACTTTAATATTTTGTTATATAATTCAGTAATGAGTTAATTATTTTATAATTTAACAGGTTATTTTTGTGATATATAACATTTTATTTGCGTTGTTTAAATTTGATAAGTGATGTGTGCAATAATTGATGTGTATAATATTAATATATCTAATTGTATGTTGAACGTACGTGTGTGTGCTTTTATATGCGTGTATAAATGCGTATTATATTTGGAGACCTTTAATTAATCATTTTTATTTTGATATGTTTCAAGGATCAATAATTGGGGGTCAATGGAACAAACTTGGACAATGGAATACTGCATTTAATATTTTATTATTTATATTTTATATATTTGTATTTTGTGTAAAATTTTTCTTTGCATTTTTATTAGGTTTTTCTTTCTCTGATTTATATCGAGGTGGATCGAGTAACTGAGATATAAATCAATGAAAGAACTATCTAATAAAAATGGATTTTCTATTTTCTTCTCTTTTTTTGGTTTGTATTGAGGTGGATCGAGTAGCTGAAATACGAATCAAGGAAGGAGATAGAAGAAAAGAAGATCATGATAATGTGTATGCATAATAAATATTATCTTCATTTCTTATTATGTATATACGATTACAAAAATAAAATATTATTTTAATTTAAAAATGAATATCTTTATTCTATTTATTTCTAACATTTTAATATTTTTTACACGAATAAGAAGTATATTTTTGTACATATATAGGCATATGTGTAATGATATTTTAAAATATGCATAATATTGATAAATATTTGTTTCTTACTGTTATATTAAGATTAAAATTTTATTTATTACAGTTGATTATTTTTATTCTATATGCATAAAAATTATTATCTCATTTAATTTAAAAAAAGTTATTATTAAATATTGTTTATAATTGTAATAATTACAGTAATTATTTTCTTAAATGTAATCCGTATAACATTAAATTTTACTTTTTGTTGTTTATATTAATATCTTAAGCCTGCGATATATGATGTTTGTTTTTCTGTTGGATTGCTTACGTTTTTAGTTAGAAAATCTGCGTTCTTTGTGATGCAAGTAATTTACAAAAACGGTAGCAATCTAACGAGAAAAGACGCATTCTATATGTCACAGTCTTTTATTAAAATATTTTTACGGTATAATATTTATATTACACGATATTTACATAAATTTATATTTTCTTATCTTTTTATTTTACAATACATTACAATTATGAATCTATTTCATTTAGTTCTTATTGCATTTAAATTAATTTAATGTACATATCAATGAGATAGAGTAGCTAGAAAAAGATGGAAAGATGGAGAGTAAAGAGCAAGTGAGAAAGAAGTTTAGGTGGCGCGACTGGGCATTTTACTTATTTCGCGCATGCGCACTCCATTTTGTGTGACACAAAAATCAAAGGTGCCGACAGAGAGTTGCGCTACTGGATATACTGTGACAAGGGGGTAGAGAGTTCTCGGTCGCCAACTGGGACCGCGAAAAGCACGTTACCGCGAACGCGATACGCCCGACAGCGCATAACAAGGCGTGTGCTAGCTTAGGATTGCGGACCGTTTACTGACGCGTTTATAAAAAAGAGTAGACGGCGACCAGACAGCGCACACAAAAGAATAACTGTACAAACGACGGCATTTCGAGCGGCCGTCAAGTCGCACCGAAATAGAGATACGCACACCCATACCAGGGCATTGTAAATACGAACAGCTGACATAGTTTTGCGCATAATTCACTACACACCTACACGAGCATTATACATTCATTCATTCGCACATCATACTTTTGTATATATACAGAGAGATAATAAACTTCTTTTTTTTTATTATTACAATCCGTATCTGAGATTATTCGCTGAACTCTCCCTCCGCCTTGAGCCTCTTTCGAACCCGGAAATCACGACGAGCTATATCCGCGCTTAATTCGAAAGTTAGGTCGTTACACATGTTTAGCCGTAACCTGACTAAAGACATATATTAAATAATTTTTCCAGAATTGTGCAGTGCAACCACTCATTTTTATTGTTATTATTTTGTACTGAGCAAAAACCACGAACACAACCTTGAATCAACTTAAATCAACTTGAATAAACGAACACATACGAACGAACACATTCGTGTAAGCGAAAGAGTGAAATGGCCTATATTTCTCTCTTACTTGTAGGATTTCGCTAGGAAATGGCGGACTCACCTGATGACCAGTCTCTGTTAGGAGGGTCTCTAGTCTGAACTAGTGCACACGGTACAATAAGTTAAAATGAAAACAAACGTATATTTGCTTCACATCAACTTATTGTACCGTGTGTACTTGTCTAGACAGTGCAAGAACAAAAAACAGACCCTATGAGTTAAGTTAGACAATCCATGTTAAACATCTAACTTTTCTGCTCAGACCCTTAACCTATTTACGATCTTTTTACGTTATTCATGTAGAATCAAATAAATGTAAAACATTTTCATTTATTGTAAAACCACGTATATTATATTTAATGGACAACGGTGCAATTGCAGGATTATTTCCTAACATATCATTAATAATATTAAATTATTCCAAGTTTGTTTTGCTGTACTAGAGATCCTCAAGTAAGAGATGCGCGATCTGATATCGCTACTGGATTGGTTGATGACGACGTCGCAAGAATATGGCGCAACCAATGGCGCAATCGTATTATATTCCTACTTACAAGTATGACACCATATGACACACAAGTTGACATACAAGCACATACAAGTATGACACACATATGACACACATATGACACATATATGACATGAAGGTCGCCATGTTCTTACGAATGCTCGAAGTTCGCGCATCTCTTACTTGAGGATCTCTATGCTGTACCAGTTTGTTTCTTTGCATCTTTAATTGTTTCGTATTTTTTTTTCTACTGGTCCATTTAATGTAACAATTGTCAGCAATCAAGTTATATCCATGGATGTTCACAGAAGCAGCAATATTTTTGGTAATTTAGGGGACCCAGCTTCGATGACCTTGACCTTGACATATGTTGTCAAGGTCATGATTCTGAGCAACTTTGCCTTAACAACTAGGCAGCGGTCTCTTATAGTTTCTGAGATACTTAGACCTAAAAGTCTAATTTCGTATAATATGTCTTTCCGGTAAATATCTAGAAAATGGGAAACATCTACTTTGTTTGTAAAGTACTGAATGTTGCGAAGTGTATGCATGGATGCGGTGGGTTCCGCCCCTCCTGCGGGGGGGGGCTCTACGACTGTTAAAAATAACCTAACCCAACCCATTTAGTGGTGTGAGGTAGATCTCGCTTCGTGTAGAAGGTTGAAATCCATACACAGTAGTGCAGGCATGTGACTTTCTATGCGAACATACTTCTATGGTTGTACTATTGCGCAAGAATTTCGACTTCCTGAGCGAAGCGACAACTACCATACACCACTAAATGGGTTGGGTTAGGTCATTTTTAACAGTAGTGGAGCCCCCCCCCCCCCGCAGGGGGAGGCGGAACCTACTGTATTCACGCATACACTTTACAACATGAAGCGACATGGAAGTTGCGAGCTCATTCGCAGAAAAAGAGATGGAATAAGAGTTGCTTCGCACGAATACAGTAGGTTTCACTACTGTTGAAAATAACTTCAATGCTTAATATCTCAAAAACTATAAGAGTCCGCCACCTAGTTATTAAAGCAAAGTTGCTCAGAATCATGACCTTGACAACATATGTCAAGGTCAAGGTCATCGGAGCTGGGTCACTTAAAGTGCATAATTACCCAATAATTTTGTCATGTCATCAGTCCATTGAACTCTACAATTATTGTGAGTACAAATTAGTTCGGTCCGTTTTTCCAAAAGATGACCGATTCCAAAGACGAGTCATTTTTTCGAGATGGAATTCGAAAATTTTCTGAGAGATGGGAAAAAGTAGTAGCCAGCAATGGACATATTTTAATTAATATGTTCATTCATTTTGTTTTGAAGTAAATGTATGGGTGGATCAATATATTCGTTCGGTTTTTGAAGGCTAAAATAAAACTTTTTTTTGGATGAATTTTAATCAATGATATATTCTCCGTTTTTATTGATGACCTCTTGCCATCTTTCCAACAATTTTATTATTCCGCTCTCATAGAAGATCTGGGGCTTAGAAGCGAAAAACCGGTCGAGGTACGTTTTCACAGCTGTCTGATCAGCGAACGATTTCCCGTTGAGGGAGTTTTGCTGGGACCGGAATAAGTGGTAGTCGAATGGCGCAAGGTCTGGTGAATACGGTGGGTGGGGCAAACATCCTAGCCAAGTTGCATTAATTTTTGCTGAGTGATTATTGCGGTGTGGGGTCTGGCGTTGTCATGGTGGAATATGACACCTTTGCGATTGACCAGTTCTGGACGTTTCGGTCGCAATGCTTGATTCAATTTCGTTAGCTGCGTGTAGTAGACCTTCGAATCGATCGTTTTTCCCTGAGGAAGCAGCTCATAAAACAGCACACCACGATAATCCCACCATATGAATAGCAAAATCTTCTTCGGATGCAGGCCGGCCTTCGGGGCGGCACACAGTGGGTCGAAACATAGTAAAACCCGGACATAGGACTCCAATCGTTGTGCAACTTCATTTTTCTCGCTTAAAAGTAAAGACTTTTTAGGGTTATTAATCTTGAAATATAAATCCTCCAATAATTTCGAGTTCGAAATGGCGGAAAGCCGAATTTATAAAAACGGATGAACAAATTGAAAAAATCTTTGGACGAATTATAAAAAATGTTGTATTCATGAAATGGTTCCTACTTACTTGCCGATTAAAAATGGTATTATTTTTCATTAGTTTTGAAAATAAAAATTACAAATATTAATCAGTTAAAAGGAATAAACCTATTTTCAATCAAAGCGAATTTTAATGTATAAATATTTAAAGTGAATTTATATACGTATTCAATTCTGCAAATCGCACCTTTTTTGATCTTGAAATACAATCTTATAAACAGATCTTCGAATAGTAATGTCACATATTAAATTACCAAGAAATTTATTAATTTTTGATGCTAATAAGTATACCTTTGAAAATTGACCACAAAAATTTGTACCATTCTAAATTAAAATGATTATCTAATAATGTAACCTAATAATTTAAACCTTTAATACTTTAAATGATATTATCTAATATAATACATTACCACGAAAAGTAACTGATATATTACTAGATCTAATAATGTAACTTAATAATATAAAATCTTTAAATTATATTATCTAACATAATATATTACCACGAAAAGTAACTGATATATTACTAAATGTGCCAGTTCAAAGTGAACATATATTATGTATATTTTCTATGTTGAATATGTACCACGAAAAGTAAATGATAGTTTATTCAAGGTGCAAATT